GGTTTTTGTAATCTGGTTAATTTTCGACCATTCTTCTATCATAACTTCTTCCAGCTTGTTTAGTGAATGAATATTTATTTCAGATAATTTTACTCTGACCCAACAAAACCAAAATGTTTTTAATCTGGCACCAGGAACATTAATGCATAATAAATTCAATTCCTAATATGAGATTTCCATTGAATAATTTACAATGTTCATAATATATTACTGAATAAGTTTATCATTCTCATGCCATCTATGGCTCCATTCTTATTGAATCAAATGTCTTAGTTGCTAAACTGGATCTTCTCTAGATCACATATGCAGGAAACAATTGAGGTGTCCAGTGGGGGAGCTAACCCACAAAATTCAAAATATCAATTTATTGACATGGGTTTGATGATTGGGATTGACATGATTGGAGGGGTATAACAATCATTATTGTCTTGCGTGTCAAACTCTCCCTTTGAATATAGAATCGAAAACTCAATCAATATATTATATTTCATTTTTAGCAACGCTTTCTTCTTCACCGTGGTTTCTTTTTCCTATGAGATATTTTTCTTTCTCATGTTTCTAGGAAATAATAGTCTCTATCAACTGTTGATGTATTAGCAGGTAGATGTTTCTTAATTCATTTTATTTTATAATTATTATTTGGATCTCCTGGACTCGCTGATTTGATGAAAATAATTGTTGCTTGCAGTTTCTTGTCCTAATTTGAACTTAATATTTTTTAATCTCTCAATGAGCACACAATTAACTGAAATTGGAAGATTCATGTTGACACTGTTTTTGCTACAATGGACATTATAAAATGTCAACAATTTAATGGATTTTCTAAAATATACACTTATAGAACACACTAAAACGTGCCTAACCACACTTAGACAGTGTTTTTAAACCCACATCTACACCAATTAAGCATATGAGACCACAGCAATTGTATAGTGAGCTGAAGAGTGTGTCTGTAAGACTCACAATAACAGAGGTGAACTTTCCAAAATGGTAGCAGCAGAGGGTTAAATGAGATATGATTGGTGCACACAACGTACACTGTCATTTTCAAGTTTGAATATTTTTCTTCTTTCGATACAGCTTCCAAAAAATACATCATCTTTATTGACCTCTTACTTTTCTATCACATCAAAATTGACAGCAAACACAAAGCAAAAGGAGGACTCTTTGAAGGCAAGTATGAAATGGAAGGTACCAACAAAGAAAAATATTTTGGATGTAGTACATTGTATTCCGTGTATTATTAACAAACACTGAAAGTATATCATGATCAGTAAATTTGTCATTCATTTCTGCTGTTATTCACAATTCAAAATTCACAAGGCATTTTTCCTAATAATTTCATTGTCATATTGCTTGACCGAAACATATGATGTAATGAACTGAAAATGGTAATTGGTGCGTTTCTCAGGCCTTGTCTATGCAATGGAGTATGGTTCAGAAATTTATTCTTTTACACAGTTCTCTGATTTCATTCAGTCAAGGCAAGAGATGGATGTATTTGATCAAGATTATGATTCATCAACAGTAATTTGAGATTGATCACATAATGATATAAATTAACTGCAATTGAATAAAAATATCATAAAATATGTGATTAATAATTAGATAAGTTAACACTACAAATCACCAGATTCTTTGTATCTGTAAAGAGATCTTCATTAATTTTAAAGAGGAACTAAGAACCAGTCTTTATAACAAACTTACCTTTTCAATGTGTATTTCCCTGCAAAATGGATCAGTGACAAAGGGAGAGTTTGTCATGCATGGCAATAATGATTGATACACCTCACCAATTTCAATTGAATATAAAAGTGTATTTCAGTAGTTTGTAAATGTTTTAATTGAAAATGAAAGAATGTTTATTATGTACAATAATATTTTTTAAATATTTAGGTGGTTACAAGAAATATTAAGGACTGATGTACTTCAACAATAACATTTTTATATTAAGTTGCTCTGTTTCTATTAGATATTCAAATAACTTTTCTTTAAATAAATGGATAAAATTATGTAACTTTTAAGAAAAGTTATCAAATCATGTAATATCATTGAACATTTGAAGTTGGAACCACGTCGACGTCCTGCCCCACTGGTTCATGCATAATGATGTTACTGTAATGGACTTAGTTACTAAGCAAAAATTGAAAAAGCAAGTCATAGGATGCATTTGAATTACATATTTAGTTTAACAACATAAGATGATGAATTGTATATTTATAGAACAACACAAGATAATGAATGGTATATGCAAGTCTGTTTGGATTGATTATTACTATGTACTTCTTAGAAATGCTTTGAATTATATGGTATTTAGCTTTTTTTTTGTGTGATTGCACTGCTACTAGATAATAGGATATCTAATACAATAAAAAAAAAAAATTAATGTTTGCCTTCCCAAGATTTCAAACAAAAAGAATGCTATTGTGCTTTAAATTGTGTGAACATTGACAATGTGAATTTCGAATACAATAAGCTTATTTGCCCAGTTCATTATAATAAATAATTCTCCAAGCACTTAAAATTGTAAAATCTTACAAACAAAATTATTTTTCTTATATATCTCTCGTTAAATTTGAAACCCACTCATAGTGGATAATTGGGATTGATCTTTCATCTGTCCAACAAACATACATGAAGAACTTATATTCTTTGCCTATTACTAATACCAGCAAAATTTTAATTTTTAATCCACAAGAATCTTTAGACATATCACAAAATTAATTTCCTAGTAATAAATTCTCAACTATGTTTAAAATAGTAAAAGCAAGCAGATATAACAGGATATAAATTTTGTTATGAGGAACTCGGAAATGGTAACACATGGTGAACCATTTGTCATGCCATACAGTGTACTGTTCTTACAAAAGTCATATTGCAAGTTATTAATTTCTGCAGCATAAAGAGTTTACATGTACATTTTATGGTGCATATTCATTTTCCTGTGGAAGAGGGAATGGAAATAATAAAGGGAGCCAAACATGGACAATTTTTATCCACAATAAACTCTTTCTTCCCTACCTTGAATACAAAAGATCAACTCTGAATGTAATCAACTTTTAGTTATAGTGAAACAAAGGCACTGGTCCTATTCATATACAATACAAATAAACACTACAGGATACAAATGTAGAACTCCACACACAAAATCTCCACATCTGCAGTAGTCAATACAGGAGAAACAGCTTCCAAGGAAAACACACTGGCTCAGGATTGAAATTTCCACAGTTTGTAGGTGGAGGATCTCATGAGTTAGTTTTTGCATTGACTGCAAGGAACTGATGGAATGCACCATTGACAAAGCCATTTCAGCCTGTCTATGGCACTTCTATCAAGAGTGTGAACAATTAAACACAGACCGCATGCCAAAATTAGTGAAATCTCAGCTGGCTTCGATGCAGCTGCACTTGGACTTCATAACTGTGAAAGAAAAATATAACTAAAAGATGAAGTATTCCAACAGGACAAGAGTCATTCAAAGGTATCGAAGACTACTAAAATATTTTGTGTGGACACTGTAGTTACGTTCCGAGTATTGAGAACAAATGGAATCTGGAGGAGGATATGCCAAATGAATTAATAAAAAATAGTACCCAGCAAACAGTAATAAAAAACATTATTTTAATGGGAGATAAATGTAAAGAAAATTCAAATTCTTAGCTTTTGGATATTGTACTGAACTTCTGTAACAACAAAATCAATCATTGAAGTGTAACTAGTTTAATTTGCCATTAGAAGACATAGGCAGTAACCAAAAATTGTAGTTTCAAGAGGTTCAGTATAATTGGAGTTGACTTAGTTTCCTTCTTCTCATAATGAATTACGAACTTATGTCATAATTAAAAATATATTATAGTCTTTGCAATGCAGACTCCTTGACAAGGTTCACTTGAATTCCATCCAATTTAGCAGATCTAGGACGCAGTAGTGTAATGAAATGAATGCAGACCCACTTGCAAAACTTCTGTCCCCTTAAACAACCCCTTCATAATAGAGTACAGCAAATTTTACAAGAAGTGTTAGTTCCTTACACAAGAAAAATATTCATTAACAAATTTGTATTCATCTGTCCATGATTACTACATAAGAAATTAATCTGTCCATGATTACTAACAGATTGTATTGATGTAGAAACGGGGTTACATAAGCTACTGAAATGGGGAAAGAATCGTTCTGGAAGACGCCATTTCTAACTTTTTTTGAAAAAAAATTATCACAAAGTATTAAGTAATTAATATTTCTTATAATCGCAAAACCTTTAGCCTAAAAATAGGTACTCTTCCTCCTGTGCCCACCTGCATTACTTGCGATTTGGCCCCAACATTACGCCACTATTAGGGGGTAAGGCATGACCCCCTATATTATAAACTTTTTGAATACACATTTTCACAAGCAAACAATAGTACTATTTAGAAAATATTTATGGAAAGGGGTTAAAACGGATAGTCCCCCCTCCTATCCTTATCTCTCAAATACCATTTGTATCTTCTGGATGCACTATTCAGTGTTCCCTAAATCTCATGTAAGTTGACTTGTGTCTAAAAAATAATTTGTAGGTAGGAAGTTCTATGAAGTTATCAAAAAATGTATTTTTTTGTTGTAACTTTTCTGGTTTTAAGTCAATATTCAATGTTCAAATCAATTATTTACTCTTAGAAGCTGACCTTTCAAATCCTTTCTTCAGAAGTTAAGTAGTATTCAAATTATATTCTTTGGTTTGTATTTCCCTCGATTCTCCAAAAATAAAAAAAAAATTAATAATAATATGTTTGTTACATTAATAATGTCATCTAGACAAATTCACTTTGTGGAATAATTTTATGTTAAAAAATTCCCAGTATTATTTAATTTTTTTAAATGTCTTCAGGAAATTTCATTCAGTTTCATCATAGATGAGATCTATTCAATATTTTAACTCTCTTAACTACAAAATGTAAACAAGTTTCCACAACCAAGTTTCTCAAAACTTCACAGTAAGGTCAAAATTAAAGACTAAAAAATAAGGTTTACTGAAATTTATTAACTGTTTCATACACAACCACACAATCACAGGAACACCAATTGTACTACATGAATATACATTTGCTTCACTGGATTTAGAAACCATTGGCATAGTTGTATGGATGCATAGTTCAATTTGCATGAAAATACAGATATCGTTTTTTTAATTAAATCCATTTCTAAATTAAACTCCACATTGCAATGGAGATTAATTCAGAGTACATGAAATATTGAAAAGCAGGCAGAAACAGTACTAATAAACTATTTTCAGCAATTAGCAACATGCTATGAAAATTTATATAATTCATACACATCCACACAAATGTGATTTGCTTCAATAAATAACAGAAGTATTTTTAAACATATCAGATGTTGGGCACCGATTACCACAAAGGATTATGGTTTCTACACAACACCCAGAAATCTTCCACAAATGTAAAATCCTATTCAAATAAATTCCAAAATATAAATAAAAGCAAATTCATTTTATTCCCAGTTTGTGTGTTACTACTTTTTAATGTATTCAATACAATAAAAAAAGGGTGTTTTCGAGCATCATATCTTTTCAAAACCATTCTGCCAATTTCTTAAATATTGATGAAAAAATTAAAAGATTTAGCTAAAGCAGTTCCACACTTACTACCATTGTAATTCATTACAAGTAACAGATAATTACTTGTATAAAGAGTCCTTTAGTAAAATGTGGCTGTTAACAGCTTTCATTGCAATTGTTTATACACAGATCAAAAGCACAGTGTATTTCCACTGTGGTCAAAAGTAATCATTTCAGAAGGCACAGAATGACAGTCACACTTTCTCATGAGAGTTAAACAATTGGCACACTTTTGATAAGAGTATTGCAAATGAGGACCTATATACAGTGAACTTTATATTTACAATATACAAATAAAATACAATGGATTACTTACAACTGGAGTAGGTAGTTACACACCATTTTTATCAGTCCAGGACTGGTGCAAGATTCCACCAACAATTACAAAGATTCTAACAACAATTACAAGGAAAATCATGCAATCATTACGAAAAGCTGTGACAACACTTGTTTTTTGTCCAAGATTCTTTACAAGGCATCACTGTTTCCAACAATAATTGATACTTGAAGACAACCTGCTAATGACCCATCAACAGAGTATTGGTAATGTGTTAAAAGCAAATTTACAACAATAAATAACAATTCTTATCTCAAAATTGTTACAGAACTATCACAATCTTAACTACTCAGAAATTTACAAGACATTCACACCTTCATTCCAACCAATTTACATTCTTCATTCCTCAACACCCATTTTCAAATACAAACAATTAATACATACACATAGAAGTTTGGATAAACACATAATTTATCCTCACAATTAACAATTAAAAACTTTTCCAATGTTATTTTCCACATAAATAAAAATTAAACTGAGACAATCAACTGACATCACTGATTATTGTGATGGCACGTTTCAATTGTTAAAATGCAGGATCATCAGCACGACATTGCATTCACTGCTTTACTGATCAGTGTCATAACTCCACTGGTTGAAGCTCAATGTCTTAATTATAGACAAAGATAAGAACAGTCCACAAGTTTACCTTGGCATTAAGGTTATGTAGCAACCCCATCACCATCTTCTTCCTCATCAATAATGGTGATATCGCGCAAGGAAGGTCGAGCACTGCGACGCCAGCCTTCAACAACAGGCGCCATCGATGTCTTCTTTAAGAGTCGAGGACCCAATATTGTCATGAGAATGGCCCCAACAGGGGCGGTTATCATGATGGACAATACGCAAACAACAAGTACCTTCTCTGCGTAACCTGTTTTCTGTTCATTGTTCTCTGGCCGCACAAGATCCAAAGCAACAGGGCCAAGAGCAGCCTGACAGAAGAAAATGAAACAATTAGAATATGTTTACCTTCTGGAGATGCATACAATTATCTGGGAAATTAATTGGAAAAAAAAAAGCACTTCAATACCCTAATGAAAATTTCATGAAGTGAAGTTTCACAACATTGACTTCTGGACACATTCCCTTCAAAACTGTTTATTATCATGTTGCCTAGCTAACATTTGAGGTAGTACTTGGATTTACTTTTAATTTTTCAGGAAATCAAGTACAATATCCAAAACATTGCCAAAATAGATGGTTTAGCTATTAACTCTGATAAATAATTTTTTTATTGGTAAAAAAATAACTTTCAAGAAAAATTGTTTGCTATCTCTTGATATATTCAAGATGGGGTAAAGGGAGATTAGCCACTTTTTTGTAGTAGCCAAAATTGAACTTTGTAGCTTAGGAAGCTGAACATAAGCTTATTCTGAAAGGATTCAGGGAGATGTTGAGATAAAAGTTGGGAGATGTTAAGATACAAAATTTGTGTTTAGAATACAAGGTCTGATAGAGTTAACTGCTGTTTTTTCATATTACAACAACATATCTATACTCCAATTAAAATGTAGAGTGAATTGACTGCAATCAGGAGCTTCTTTACAATTTAATTTCTGATATTGTATCCCAGCTGACCAAACATAAAGTAGCGCTAAGTTTTAATCTCAGTATAGGTTAGCAGTTTTCTAATACATTTATGAATACTTAAAATAGGATTGTTAACAGATCAAAACAAAATTACATTACTGTAATTTAATTATACTTACATGTTTTACTAATAAGAGTATTGATCACCCCCCCTTGTTAACTATGACAATAGATGCCAGTTCACTGCAATTGCTGATCCTTAATCTCTTGTGTCTACCATAGTTTAAAGGCAATCACAATTCTTTGCTCACTGTATATCAATGGAATACTTCCCAAATAAAGAGGTGCTCAATTTTCATCTTGCTGGCTGTGCTTAAAGTGAAGCATGTCTCATAACGTTTGATTAGATACTATAATCTCTAAAAATGCCTTTCTGATTCCTTGCTATTTAAAATGGAACAGAAAACTTTTTAACTTCACAATGTCATTCATTTAAACATCAAGGCACAAAGCTTCACGTAGATAGTTTATCGAACATTAGCTGACACAGCCATTATAACATTATCAATATTTCCTAAATTTCCAACTGGATACATAGATTCTACAATAGTTGAACATTTGTACAATAAAAACTATGGTGAGGAAGCCAGCAATAATAATGGCTAAAAGTACAATTTTGCCATCAGCTATTTTCTTCGTATCCTTCAGTCTTCATGTCATTTATTCCGAGCTCTTCATTGTGTTCAAATGTGCGTTCATATGAGGTAATTTTTAAACCTGCATCAGGTTCATCATCCTGCAAACTTTGCACGTAACTGTTACCAGCAGGGTCATCCAATACTAGTGTTACAGATCGTTCACATGCCAATACACTATCAAGCTCTAGTAAAAACTTTTGCAACCGTACTTTCGTATCATCATTGGTGCTGTCACGAAACATGCCACCTTGCTCTGCTAATTGGTCTTTCATCGCTATCAATAATCCTTCAACAGTGGTGAAACGACCTCCCAGTGCATATGAACCGACCTCAAGATCTAATTCTGGAATAAGCACAGTGCACGTTTCAGATTTCAGCAAATCCCGACTGAAGTCGTCTTTAGAGTCAATTTTAACTTCAATACGTATACCATTAGGCTCTATTCCACCCCCTGATTTAACTTCATTGGTACGATGCCCACAACTCTCACATAATGTAGCCATTATTACAACCTCCTTGAAATGAGGAATGTTTGTAAGCTTCATGTTTGTTTCACATGGTGAGCCACAGTCTGGACAGTTAGTAGGTATTTGCAACACTTCACCTTCAAAATCTTGTAACGTAAACTTGCCCTCTGGAAGCGGTTGAAGGATACCTCTGCTCTCAGACTTGGGAACACCTTTCTCATCTGACACAGTCCCTTCAATTTCTTCAGGTGTGAACACACCTAATATATGATTTTGTTCTACAGTTCGGACAAAGTGAGTTATTTCAGTGTCTGAGTCTTTTTGTGGAGCTTTAGGGTTTTCAATGAAACTGTTACCACTTATATCTTCAAGAATCATAGTAAAATTAGAGTGTGGACTTTTTAAAGACTTAAGTTTCTCAATAAACTGATCAATTAGAACTGCATAACTTGGATCAGCTTTTCTGCGTTCATCTTGATCCTGTTCCAAACTGTTAATAGCACGATCCAATACTCCTTCTACCGTTGTTACCTCCCCTTTTTGCGACTGAGATGGTATTTCAAAGTCAAGTTCCGGTATTCTGATTGAAGTGAAGTCTGATTTAACAACTTGCCTGTTCAGATCCTTGTTGCTACTAGCTTTCAGAACAATACGAACACCCTTTTCTTCAATCCTAGCACCAGACTGAATTTCGTTATTATGGTATCCACAGTGCTCACAATCAAAAGACATTAGAACTACTTCTTTATAAAAGGGAATGCGTGTAAGAAGTAGTCTTGTGGTTCCATTTTCACCACAGTTCATACATAAACTTTCAATTTCTGTTGCCTCTTGATCTGGATCGTCTGCGGCAAGGTCTCTAAAAATTGGTTTCTTCGTATTGTCAGTCATACTGAGTGAGGTTGTGTTACTCCACGAAAAGACACGTGGTGAGGAGTTAACACTTATTAGGTTCGGTCGCCCCTAATTTACTACACTAATGTTTAGTTTAAACTCCAGCAGTTGATGTGCCAGTTATCGATGCTTCACACACTTTCTAGAACACTCTAAAATGCCAGGGAATCGTCACGACGAACAACAAACGTATTACACGTCACCCACCCAGTCACTACCAGCCATTACGTAAGAATACGCCAGCAACGCAATCTATTGAGCGAGTTTCTACAGGGCTGCCAACAGTAGTTATAGCAAACACCATAGGGACCCTAGCCAAATACCCTAGGGGTCCTAAGCTAGAGTTAGGGATCCTAAGCTCCTAGTAAGAAGTAATAAGATAAATAAGATGGAAAAAATATTATTTTGTGATACATTCTCCTGGCTGGAGCAAACTAGAATATTATTGAATGCTGTTGGTTAATTCCGAGCGTGGATTAGATGATACATTAACCCCGCGCCTCACTCTTCCTCCTCCTCATTCTCCTGTCCCGCATCACCCAATTCCAACGGCCCCACCCCGCAACGATACAATATAGATGCATTGCGCATTCTTTTAAACTAAATTTTGTAAAAAAATAAAAAAAATAATTAAAAAAATTAAAAAGTCTTCAATTTTAAATAAGGTTTTAAATCTCAAACCATCCTCTTTTTTCTCGGCGGTTCAAAAGGAATTCGAGCAATATTTCAGACCTATCACTCCAGTGATTTCAAAGTTTTGTTGGAACAAACATGAAAACATTTCATAAATACAACACATACTTCAATTAATTTTACGTAACATAAGATAACAAGCAAATGGCATCCTTGAGATTCCAGCTTACTTCTCTCTATTTGACGTGCAATTCTTCGATTATCATGCCTCTTTATTTACGAATTTGTGGAGTAAAAACATCGGGTGAACTCCAATTAGTGGGTGGTGAATGGATAAAAATGTAAGTGTAACGAATAAAGATAATTTATTTAGAATTATACGTAATACAAAAAAGTATTTGCTGAAATATTCCACCGCATATTTTGGCGGGACCAACTAAACTGGACGCCATTCGTTTTGCCTAGCTGACGGGGGACACAAATAGAACGTAGAACTTATGGTGTTTGGTCACAAAATACAGAGCCAATTTCAAGGTATGGCTGCTGTAAAGGATAAAGTTATATGTACTATCCGTAATCCAAGTAATTTATTTTGATTTATATTAAGTTCCAGAAAACATGTACTGTGCTGTCCCAACACTAGTTACTGTTTTCTCTTACTTTGTAAAAAGAGAAAGTATTGCAATAGTGCGTCGGAAAAAGGGGAATTTTCGACAGAAAAACTCTCATTGTTGGACCCTAGTAATGAAAAAGTGGATAAATGATGTTCATATATAGTAAATTACTTCCTCTAACACATAGTGCAGCTAGAATACATGTTTTGTGGGTCCATGATAGCGAAAAATCGACTGACGACCTAACTCTGCCTGTGTGTCTGCCTGTGTGTCTGCCTCTGTGTCTGCCTCTGTGTCTGCCTCTGTGTCTGCCTCTGTGTCTGCCTCTGTGTCTGCCTGTGTGTTTGCCTGTGTGCCTGCCTCTGTGTCGTTTCGCGTACTTTGGGCTTGAAATTGACGCAATTTATAGAAAAAACAATTTCTCAAAAACTGCTCCAATTTTTTTCCACAGATAGAAGGGACGCTTAAAAGAATGGCACAGGTCTCATTTCCGTTAAACTTTCTAAATTGTCGAATTTAGAAATAATGCGAGAATTTATGAGCTGTTGTAGCCCCACTAGTTTTTCGTGTGCGACCAACCAAACTTGCCGGCAGTTGTTCTGCCTAGAGTAGGTTAGGAAAACCGATGGAGCTTAGTAGTATTTTTTTTATAGTCGTACGAGTAAAAATATTGGGTCAATTAATTAGAGGGCGGCGAATGGTTCAATGGTCCAAATGACCTCCAAGGTAATGACCGCCGGCTCCCACTACTCTCGCTCGCCCGCAGGGGGCTGTTTTCATCTCGTGATCACAAACGGGTATTTAACTGTGCGCCCGCTTCGCTCGGTTCGAATATTTTGGGAGCGCAGAGACAGGGAGAGGTGGCATCGACTGCTGTCATTGCAGTGCCTCTGACCAGGGGGTCCTAGGGTTCCACTCCTGACGGTGGCAGGGTTTTTTGTTACCAGTTATACAGTTAGGTCGAATTCAGCCGCTGTCTGGAGGAGAATTCTAGCGGCCGGCTGCTCTGATCTGTAATTTTCCGTGGTTTCTCCGATCGACACCAGGCGAATGCCGGAGCAGTACCTTAACAAACGGATCACGTACCGCACGCGATCTTTCCTTCCTCTTAATTCTCCTACAGTTTTTTTGTACAGAAAATAAATTAAATCAAATTCTGACGACCAAGCGACTGGTTTAACCATAATCTTTGCACGGCGCAGATCTACATCTACAAGTCATTATAATTAGTTACCTCTTTTTTTAAGACTTAATACATTTCTTGAAACATACTAATAAGTGGATGACGACGTTCATGTTATCTTTCAAGAAAATAAGAGGGTTTTTACAGTACAATAGATAGACATCTGTTCCTGATCAGTATATAGCTCAAATTCCGCGCACCAATAGTCAGTATAATCTTACATGTTTCATAAGAAAGATAGTGAGTAAGTAAAAAATACGACATTAATTGTAAAAAATGCGCCAATAAAAAAACAAACGTCAAAATTATTTAAATAATGTCCATGAAGGGTTGGAGATCGAAATGCAACTACCAAATTTCAGGACCCTAAGACTTATTATTATAAGTACCGAGCGAAAGGAAATATTTAATTTCATAACTGATAATAATAAGAAAAGGTTCATAATATGAACATCTCCGATTTATTAATACTTACTTGGACGGTAGCTTTGGACATCCACGCCAACGCCACGAATATTTTCTCCTTGAGGTTGAGTTTACTCCCGATGGCAACAATAACCGTGACCACAATTCGAATCTGCGGAAAGAAAACGTTCTGTGACCATCCAAGAGGATATATTCCGCGGAAGATTTCATAGCAGGGCTACATAGTCTTTTCCAAGGCATTGAATTATCATGTAAAAGGTGAGGAGATTGCATTTTCTGTGAATCAAACTATAGTTTTTGGGTTTGTCTTATGTATTTCAGTAAACCAAACCAAATTCGATAGGGGACATTATACATAACTACTTTTCATAATGCTCTTGTAGATAATAGATGGAAATTATAATAGATGATTGGATTAAAGAAACTAAACAAACAATATTTTGTACATTACGTCCAAATAATTAACTCCTGTGAATCTGGAAACATAAACCCAAAGGAAATACTTAACCGTACGGTAGGGGCAATAAAAATTATCTCTAGCGCCAAGCAAAATCACACGTCGTGTGGGAAGGGTGTTTGGAACTGTAATGCAAAGTATTGAAACCGGATCCGTCTCGAGAGTAGGAAACAGAGAGGAACTTTAGAGAGATGGAACCGGAAGACGGGAACTAGGGAGCGAGGGCTACAGAACGAATATCAGAAGACGAATCTAGGAAGTAGAAACTTAGGACTAGGGGCTCAGGGTCGGGCACGAGGTATCGAACTCTGTGTATCAGACACTATCGGGCACCATGTATGGAGAGTAAAAATTGTATGGACAGTAAAAAGCACAATGTATCCGAGACTATGGATCGGGCTGTATGTGTGAGACACTACGAATCTGGCACTATGGATCGGGCACTATGATTTGGGCAGTATTCATCCGGCCCTTCGAAGCAGAGGCTGGCCAACAGAGAACAGGGAATAGGGAGAGGCATCAAGCGAATAGGAATTTGGGAGTCGGGAGTTGTGAGTGGAGAACTAGAACCGGGAACAGGGAGAAGGGGCCTGGAAGCAGGGAGCAGGATCTAAATGTATTGCACGGGGTTTACAGAGTGAGAAATTGAGAATGATGACTCAAGTAGCGGGAGACCAGGGTTTTGGAAGAGGAACTAGGGAGTAAGGGGACGATGACTAGGGAGCGGGCGTCAGGGAGGGAGTTCTCTAGGGTGGGACTCCAGGGAGTAGGTACCAAGGAACGGGTGCCAGGGTGCGGCTGGCAGGGAGTGGGGGGCAGGAAGTGGGTCTAGGGAAGTGGTCCGAAATGGAGGGGCGGGGAGAGGGGCCTGGGTAGAGTTCCATGGACGGGGTTCAGGGAGTGGTCTAGGGAGAGGGACCAGGGAGAGGGACCAGGGAGAGGGACCAGGGAGAGGGACCAGGGAGAGGGACCAGGGAGAGAGACCCGGGAGGGGGTCTAGGGAGGAGGTCCAGGGAACGGGGGCCAGGCGGCGGGAGCTAGGGAGGGAGTCCAGTGAGTGGTTCAGAAAGGTGGTTCTGGGTAGAGGTCCGCGGAGGGGATTCAAGGAGTGGTCCAGGGAGGGGGTCTAGGGATGAGGTCTAGGGAGGAGGTCGAGGGACGGAGTCTAAGGAGGAGGTCCAGGGAGGAGGTCTAGGGAGGAGGTCGAGGGAGGGAGTCTAGGGAGAGGTGAGGTGCGCGGGGTGGGGGGGGGGGNNNNCACCACGATGCCGATGATGAGGCAGGCGAAGGCGACGGTGACGGTGTCGCCCGCCAGCTCGTCGAAGCGCACCTGCGTGCCCGTCAGGCTGAACAGGATGGGCTCGAAGATCATCCAGAACACCTCGAACGCCGTCGCCACGGGGTTCTGCACACACAATCATCATTCGCACGTGCACAAAGCGGCTCCGGCAGGGGTAATTCAAGAATTAACAACTCAAAATTGAAAATGATTAGGGTGAGCATTTCTTGGCAAAGTTGGAATTTCAGTAATCACCGCTACATAAATTTTAAAAAACAAAGAAATTTTATTAGAATACATAAACAATTTTGACTCGTAATAACAAATATTTCATAGTTGTAGAGTGCATTTTACGATTTCTCAAAAGAACACTAGCTGCAACCTTGTCTATCTTTCTGCTCGATTCTCTGTTTGTTACTGTCAGTTACCTTTCCTACTTTGCTGACCTCTGTATTTCTCTCTACCCGTCTCTTTGCGTTTCTTCAAGCCCAACTGTTCGCTCGTCTATTGTCAAGTCTCCGATTCCGTGTCGTCACTCGTCTGTCAGTGCTTGTGTTCCCTTGCATAAATGCACACAAGTCATTTCGACTGTTTTCTCACCCACACGCTGCCCGTATCTTCGCCTGTCACCTTTTCCTTTTCCTAGCCCGTCTCCTAGCTCCGCGTCATTTTCCGTTTACCTAGCCCATTCCCTGGGCCGTTTCCTTGTCCGATTTCTCGCCAGTTCCCAAGTCCGTCCACTTGCCCATCTCTTTGCGCGTCTCATATGTTGTGTTATTTATCATGTCCTATACTCCAATCTAAACATTATGATACATCAGGGTAAAGAGCTGGACGAAAATGGGGGCCCGTCACCCAATCAGAAGTTTCGTTAAGACATACATTTTTAGCATTGCAACTCTGGATTGGATGAAAAATTCCCCCTCTTCTTCCAGTTGTGTTTAAATCGGAGTATAGACCACGCCATTTCCAGGCTCCTTGACCGCGCTCTTGCCTGTACCCTACCTCGTGACCTTTCCCGCCTCTTTCCCGTCTCCTACTTCCTCCCCAATCGAGTCCTTACTGTAAGCTAATTCCCGTCCTCTAGCCTGGCGTATTTCCTATCTCCACGCCCGTCTCACCGTCTGACTGCTCGCCCGTCCCCTGAAGGTCTTTTTGCCCGTCTGTTCCCTGTTCATCTCGCCTCAAATTGTCTGTCATTTTGTCCGCACCATTTCCTGTCCGATGGCCAACATTTCGTCGCCATTGTACGTCGAGTCCCTAGATGCAGAGAGTAGTGCATTCCATTGCGCCGCAGATTCCGCCATTTTATGTCCAGCGGTCAAGAAAGTTTAAACTGTGCAAAATTTCGATAAATTGGTGCTTGGAGCCACCAGTTTATCGAAAATCAATATTAATTTGTTCGAAAAATTTCATCATGGTCCCAATTGCCATCATTTATCAATTCCTCAATTCTGACTGGTGGAGCTAATCGTTGAGAGTGAGAGTCAGGGGCCTGGGGCAGTTGATCCACGGCGGCCCCTTATTTCAAACAAAAAGTTCCCTCCTCTAATTCATAAACAGAATTAATATCTCCATGCATCAGAAATAATTTATTGTGTTAAATTTGGATTAGTGAAGAATATATTATTTTATTTCTCTTGAATGAACAACAAACTTAAAAACAGGGGCCCCAATTGAGTGGGAGCCTGAAACAAGTTGCCGCAGCCCTTCTGGTCACCCCTGATGCGAGGACATTAACCTTTCGCGGTTAAGGTTTCAAGGTACACGTATCATAATTTAACTGTTTTACTTGTGTACGTTTCGCTTAATTTGTGATATTGAAATTTTGTTACATTGTCCGAAATACTTCCGTTGACAATTACGTCTCAAACAAAGTTATAGTTTTAACGTGATTTACGTTTTATACTTATAAACAAGCACTGGAATACATCTGTACCCCGATTGGTATTCCGCGTCACCAATTTTTATTTCTCATTAGTTATTAGAAATTGGGACAGAAAGAGTAGAACAAGGTGCAGCAAATGTTTATTTATGTGTAATAAATATGCAGATACGGAAACAATAAAAATATACATCAGTTGCCCAAAACACGAATAACCTTGAAAGAAATATTTTGATAAAAGGTATTGGTGTAAAAGAGAAACGTAGGAATAAAATTCTATTAAATTTGTCTTTCATTATATACTAACTGTTCAAACTAATCAAAATGTTCATATTTTAGTTAGTTATTTCCTATTTTAAAACAATCTTGCATAATATTTGAGTGGGGTACATGTGTACCCCGCTGGCTATTCGACGTTAAGGCGGCTCCTCACATGTGGCATACGGCGAATCCCAAGCAACCTCTAGCTGAATCCCGAGTAGTGTGGACGGGTTGCTTGCTATTCGCCGAGCGCCGAACATTCGGCATTCACCCTACCCACCTCGTGTCGGCCTTTAGGACACATCAGAAGGTGCGAACATTCGCCGAGCACATCGACTTCTTGTGATTGGGCGAGCTGTTGTTCACAACTCGGCGAATGCCGAATGTGTGGAGCCGCCCTAAAATGCGGCTCCACACATTCATCATTCGACGAGTTGCGAGCAACCGCTTATCGAATCCCAAGTAGTGTGGATGGGTTGCTTGCGATTCGCCGAGCGCCGAACATTCGGCATTCACCCTTCCTCCCGCGTGTCGGTCTTTAGGACACATCAAAGGGAGTGAACATTCGCCGAACACATCAGATGTTCGAGATTAGGCGAGAAATAGCTCGCTGTTCGGCGAATGCCGAATGTATGGAGCCGCCTGAAGAACGTGCTTTTGTGGCGAATGCCGAATGTGTGGAGCCGCCTGAAGAACGTGCTTTTGTGGCGAATGCCGAATGTGTGGAGCCGCCTTAACATTTAGAGCTCGGTACGCAGAAGGTTAAATGTCGGCGGTTGCGCTCCTCTCTTCATGGACGGAGTGTACTCACGTCCTCGACCTCCCAGCCCTGCTTGGACCAGTAGTAGCAGGCGACGAAGGCGGCGGCGACGGCGCCCAGCGGGCCCGCGCCGCCGAAGCCCACCTCCTCGCTGCCGAAGACGGCGATGAGGCCGCCGCCGAACAGCATCAGGATGCGCAGCGGCACCGCGAACGGCTGCGCACGCGACACGCGTCACGCACCGCACGCGCACGCGCAACCACGCACGCGTGCGTAACGGGACTTGGCGCGGATCGCGCGTAAGGGAGAGTAAAAGCGACTGACCTATGCAGGGTGGTCGGAATATGTATGTATTTGGAATTTTAGAGTGGGATTAATGAGATTTTTGCCAGCTATGGGTGGTGGTTCGGAATAAATGTTACAAAAATTTCTACTCCATGTAGAGGGATTGAAGATTATCACTTTTGGCCAATGGATTGATTGATGGATTATAATTCGATTTAAATGAAGGGTCTGTTGATGTACATCAGCTGTTATGGAGTCATGCAGTCAGGATGACACCTACCATACTGATGTTTAAACTACCGATTGGATGACACCGTAACAGCTGATCAAGCGTCAACGGATTCTGTAAATAAATCGAAGTATAAAGTTTCCGGGAGCGTCGATTGATTGATTAGTGATTACGGGCGCGTCAACTGCTAACTTCATTAGTCCCGTAAGTGTTGTGCAACGTTTTCCACAGGAGGTGACACTGGTCTTTCCCAGTTGGACGGCAAGGTCCAGCGCCGACCTATCTGTCGGCTTGCGGAGTTTCCCCCAACCAGGTTTCTCTCACCAGCGGGGCATCACCCCAGTCGGGGCAAGTTCTAAGCTCCCAACTGGCCTCCCGATGTGTTGAAGTTTAGTGCATATAAGTATGCGCGCGCGCGTGTGTATGTGTGTAAGGGGAGAGGACAAGACATGGATGAAGAAAAAAATATCGCTCTCTACGGACTTCGTGACCAGTTACAATTTTAGGACATGTAGATGAAGATGACTACTTTTTTCCACTGAACATGGGATAAGAAACCTCATTTAATGACGTTACCCAAATACAATTTTTAATATCGCGTCCCTATTGTGCGCGAAACGTGTTGTTCTCTAGAGTTTGGCAAATGGGCGAAATCTCAGAGAACGAACAACCCGCTGGCAATGACAATACTGAGATTTTGTTTTTAATTATAAGCTCTGACAACAAAAATTTCGCGATTTGACGATCATCGATTTGGGACTGGGGGTAATGGTGATAGCAGCCCCAATATACAATAGAGAAGGGTTGTACAAAGGGAAGCGTGGAAACAGCGTGGAAAATTATACACTTCATTTATTCTTTAGGAGCTTCCAGTTTGTTGCTGTGGCTAAAACTATACAGATGAACCACATGAGATCCCAACCATTGTTGAAGAAATCAAGGATGGTTTTAACATGACACGACAGATTGGAGCAACTCCAAACACTTCTAACGAGACTCACTTCGATAAAACTGACTTCTGTAATTCAGTTGTTTTCACAGTAGAATGTGGATAATAGTTATAAAACACTGTGATCCTAAAATAATTGTTATTGTTTTTCAAAAAAGGGAGTATTTTTTTTAAATTTCAGTCTACAGAACTTTTTGAAAATCTCTGAGCTTCGATAAAAATTGTTAGCTCCTAAAAAACGTCTTTGGCAAGTCACGAGCAATATATAATATTTAATCAACATTAATTTGACGTTGTTTTGACGCAGAAAACCAAAAAAAGTGGTTTACTTCCTGCTCATGATTTCCCTATCAGGTGAGTACACTTCACCTGTTTAAACTGCGATTATCTGCACAAGCAACTATGAAACTTGTTTAGATGTTTTTGGAATACTTATGTAGCATTTTAATTTTATATTCACTGATAAAACAACATATGAGTAATATTTAAGTAAAATACATAGCGATATACATATGACGACTCTTTAAAATATCCAATTTACTTTTAAATGATTCTCTGTTCCATATTCAAGAAACTACGCACACATTAAAAATAGTTATTTTTATCCATTATTGCAAGGATCAAAAATTTGACAATGCAACCCTGTCAAAGCCGAAGAGAATTTTGGTGAAATTTTCGCTTTCATCAGAAAATTGCTAATATTCGTATCTTTAATGGAAAACTGTGACATTTGAAATTTCGTCATTGGGATATACTTCAATAATATAAAAGCTATAATGTCTTTCAAGTCAAGTTCTTATTACTGACGCCAGGACGTACTCGTAAAGGTGTCACTTTTCTAACGGTCATTCTTTCATCGGAAAGTTGACTTACTGATCAATAGTGATTTGTGATCTTCAGTAGTAAACTAATATTAATTAAAAGAGTTAGTAAATTTTGAGAGAGGGTGCAGAAGTGTAAAACGACACAAGTGGCACATCTTTCGATATAAATAAGTTAATAAAATTGAAAAGTGCCGTAAGTTTAATATGGATTTTTTGTCCCTTCCGTTTAAGCAAAATGGGAAATAATATTTATTGATTATTCTAATGAAACTACATCGTATTTAGCTTGAAAAAGCTGAAATATAAAAAAGAATAACAAAATGACAGATGTAGGACTAAAAATAAAGAAAGAAACAAGTGTTTTGGCTTCTGAGAAATTAACTTTGCACCGATGTTACTTTTCAGTTGGAGGAATTGCGTCTCCTAGAGCATGTTTCGTGGGATTCTCTATTTCGTCGATGGACATAGCTTTTGACCTATGCCCTAGCGACGGGAGCTTGAGGCAGATGGGCAGGAGCAAGGGGGCGTGGCACTCACGTCGTTCTTCTCGGGCACGAACTTGGCCAGCAGCCCCCAGAGGCCTCCGAACAGCAGGCCCCCGAAGATGGAGAGCGGGCCCTGCGCGATCTGGTACGCCAGCGACTCTGCCGCACAGAAAGCAACAACAAAACATTCACTGGAGGCAAACAAACAACAACAACAGAGGATTAGGTAGAGCCATACAGAGGTAGCTTTTTTAATCGATTGATTAGTGGATCCTGGCGTGTCAACAGCTAACGGCATTAATCCCGTAAGTGAAGTACATGCTTTCCTAGGGAGGTGGCGGTGATCTTCCCCCGCTTTATGGTGAGATCCAAAGCCGACCTTCCCGTCTGTCCCGACAGCACTATATACAGAAAAAATGTGGCTTATTCTTTCCACGGTTGGCTGATGACTTGGAAGTTGTAACATTAATCAACAAAAGGAAATTCCGACCTCTGCTCATGAAATAGCGATGTATCTGTCACCTCATGGCAAGGGGTAGAGTTTTTGAGATAGGGATATATTACACATAAAAAAGAATTTGGGGGGGGGCATTTCTCTTTAAAATACCAATATTTTGCTTTTTTAGTTACAAATGATTTACAAAGTGTTGACGGATCTAGAAAACAGTCCACGTTTTGAAAATCTACAGCCAGTTCGAGAGAAGTTAACATGTTAAGAAGATGGAACACCGCCTCACTTCGGTCTGATTGTGAGAGTCTTTTTGAATGCAACATATTTTGATGAATGGATTAGAAGACGAGTTTTTAATGAATAAACACCACATTCCCAAGATCTTACCGCACGATCTGGCGTATACTAAAAATGCACTACATTTCGCGAAGATTCGTAGTGTGGAATATGTGAAGAAGCGCATTGAATCTGAATTTCAACACTTACATTCGCTGCCAATGTCGGACACTATTTGTGCTTTAAAAATGTAAAATTTTCATACGAAAGGACGAAAGAACTTTGATAATTTTACGAAGGTTATTTTAGAACTATACATATGAGTTATCTGTATTCCGGCTGGATTTTTAAAATCATATATCCATTTCGCAATTCTGCCATTTGACTTATTGGCCAGACAACATTACAGAAAAGTAGCAAAATATCCGGCGTTTTACGTTCTTTCCTCATTTCCAATACTTGTGAAAGAGGAGAAAGATCAATTTTATATTAAAACACGGTGTCTAACATTACACTGTTATTAGATTGAAACGTTTACCTAAGGACTTCTACTGTCCCTAGCGAATCATTTACGAACCAGTTTTTCCTCACTGCTATTGGCCTCTGCCGGAATGTATTACGAACGACGTGATCTTACCGAAAAAATAATGATCATGGTGTATCTACCAACATACGAAAATTTAAAATATTTATTTTCGGCATTAGTTCAGCATTAGTCTTTGCCAAACTTTGAAAGGACACTTCGAGAACCCTGAAGAAGAGCCTGTAAATGTTTCGTATCCGTTCACACACTACTTTTTGTGGTATCGATGTCAGTTACATGTCTTTGAATTTACTAATAATATGATGAATTAAATAATCGTTCACAAAATGTTTAATAATTTTATTAATTATCACCCAGAGCTAACTTTCGGGAAACACTTTTCCCATCCTCAGTGGGTCTCTAGAAAATTGAAACATTAACATAAGTTGAACAAAAAATATTCAGTGAATTTAATGGGGAAAACAAATAATATCAAATAAATAAAATTGAAAATACTGCTTCAGCTCCTTGCTAGAGAGACCCACTGAGAATAGGAAAAGGGTTTCTCGAAAGTTAACTCTGGGTAATAATTAATAAAATAATTAAACTTTTTGCGGGCGCTTATTTCCTTTACCATATTGTTAGTAAATTCAAAGACATGTAACTGACATCGATACTACAAAAAGTAGTGTATGAACGCGGTGACAAAAAGTTTACAGGCTCTTCTTCCGGAGTTTTTGAATTTTCCTTTCATTAGCGTAGGCAAACGTGGGGCTCACCGCTGGAGCACATGACGCTCTGGATGATGCCGAAGCCGGAAATAATCGTCCACAAAAAGTATAGTAATTTTATTAATTTATACTCAGAGTTAATCTTCGGGAAACACTTTTCCCATCCTCAGTGGATCTCTAGCAAGAAGGAGAAAATTAAAACATAAGTTGAACAAAAAGAAATACAGTGAATTTAGTGGGAAAAACAAAGAAATAATATCAAATTAATAAAACTGAAAATACTTACTGCTCAAACTCCTTGCTAGAGACCCACTGAGGATGGGAAAAGTTAACTCAGGGAAAAAATTATTAAACTTTTTGCGGACGCTTATTTCCTTTACCATATTGAAGATTACCATACGTAATCTGCTACCACCTCGGAATTTTTGGTTTTCCTTTTATTAGCGTAGACATGCCGAATGCAGGTGTAGCGGACGATTGGGGGCTCACCGCTGGAGAACATGACGCTCTGGATGATGCCGAAGCCGGCGACGGAGATGGCGTCGTCGATGCCCGAGATGGCGATGATGAGCGTGGGGATGCCCTTGGCCACGCCGTAGCCCTTGGCGCGCAGCCGGATCAGGCACGACACCACCACGGCCGGGGACACCGCCGCCACCACCGACCTGCGCCACAAAGCGCCATCCGAAACTCCTTGATTGATTGACGTTTTTTAAATAAATTATCTAGTAGAAAGTACACAGGCCAGTGAATACAACTACACATAAGTGTTACGAGACTTACTTACTATGCTTAAATGTAAACTTACAACTATTACAAGAGAGAGGAATTCCCGTTACCCTCAGTTAGGATCTAAATCTGCGAATTAAATCGATTAATTAGTGATTTCGGGGCGTGTCAATTGCTAAAGTTATTGATTGATTAGTGATTCCGGACGAGTCAACGGCTGAGGTCATTGATTGATTAATTAGTAATTCCGGGTACGTCAACTGCTAAGGTCATTGATTGATTAAATAGTGATTCCGGGAGCATCAACTGCTGAGATCATAGATGATCGTCGGGTTAGTGATTCCGGGCGCGTCAACTGCTGAAGTCATTGATTGATTAATTAGTGATTCCGGGCACGTCAACTGCTAAATTCATTGATTGATTGAAGAGTGATTCCGGGGGTGTCAACTGTTGTCAATGATTGATTAATTAGTGATTTCGAGCGCATCAACTGTTGAGATCATAGATGATTGACGGATTAGTGGTTCCGGGCGCGTGAAGGGCTAAGGTCATTAGTCCCATAAGTGTAGTGCATGTTTTTAATCGCGGGAGATGGCGGTGATATTCCCCAGATGGATAGCGAGTTCCGGCGCCGACCTCCCCGCCGGCCTGCGGAGTTTTTTCCAACCAGGTATCTCCCACCAGCGAGAACCTCCTCAGCCGGGATAAGCTCTAAGCTACCGACTGGTCTCCCGGCATGTGTGGAAGTGTGGCAAACGTAAATGTGTGTAAGGGGTGAGGATAAGACAAAGAAGAGGAAGGAAAGACAGCGCGCAGTTCGTGGTCCGTTTGTTAGGGTACTGCTCCGGCATTTGCCTGGCGTTGAGCAGAGAAACTGCATTCGCAATTCTTTAATAGCTTAACTTATGGCGAAAAACTCTTCTAGTCCAATTCATTTGAGAAATATATTAGTGTCGTAATTTAATGCAGTTAGTGCACTATACATTGAAATACGAAATACAGTTGACTCCAGTTGTAGTGATTCTGTAGGGATTAGAGGTTGAGTATCAGAGAATTCATTCTGTCTACGTTTTGTCTATGTACTGTAGTGTTTAGTATTACGTAAGTGGATCAGACCCCAGTGACTTTGATTCACTATAATCGAAAGTTCACCATATCTAGAGTTGTCTGTGAATGTAGAATAATTTCTAAAGCGATCCTCCAAATTCACAATACCTAAAATTGAAAAAGATGAATTCTTTTTCATATTTTAAGAACCGGCTGGCAGTGAATTTTTCTTTCAATCCACCTCTTTCCCAATTGACCTTTAACTGCGGAATATAAGATAGTAGCGATATCTAAAACCTAACCGCTAAAACCGTATAGAAATACTTATTTGAAGTTCTTGAAAATGCGTATAATCTAAAAATATAGTCGTTTTTTTAAGTATTTAACGACAAAAATCAATCACAAACTATGTGACGTACTATGACAGAAGTTAAATTTGAGTTCGCTTTCTTTAGGACGCAATATAGGCCCTTTTGGTAGAAATCTAAAAAAAGTGGACGGAGAAAGCTGAAGTAGGAGGAAGTACTCATTCCCCTCGGTTCAATTCTCGGCTAAATATTATTTTAGGGTACGACTCTCGTTCAATGCAATCAGTTCGTTGGATTCGATTCTAAACAAAAAGTATAGTGTTCCTTTTTCACAACGTGATTGCAACTGCGCACTTTGAATACTGTAGCCCAATGTGTTTAGAATGGAGGCTTGGAACAGTGATATGTAAAAAGATGAGGCTGTTAATATTATAAAATGACAAATTTCCTTCAACTGATCAAATAAGTTTACTCAATAACAGACCAAGGTGAGCTTTCAATTTTATTAATTTCAGACAATGGTCGTAACCATTAAAGTGTCTAATAAGAGTGAATTGAAAACTATGCGGTGGATGTTTCAAGGTTGCTTGTAGTGAATGTGGGGGCCGAAGACCCGAGCCATGCCGTGACTTGGATCCGGATGAGCGAAACGAGAAAACTTGTCTTTGAAAGTAATTTGGCATTACAATAGGGCGGGAACAAAGTGTACGCAGACACATTGCACTGCGGCAAAATGAACCGAAAGCAACGAGACCGAATCTTTCTCGATGTGATTCGTTCTTTTACGTGAACCGTACCCCAAACTAAGAATTAACCCAATTCTTGATGTATTTCAGATACAGTTGTCTGTCAACGTGCTGTTGAATGATGAATAGGGTTCGTCAAAACTGAAAACTGTCCGGTTGAAGGCTATTGAACCTATTGACAGCTATACAAAGGAGGCGTCAGCGGGATTTCATAAACGCGTGTTGACTGCTGCGACCTCTTACTTCAATTTGCCACGGCAAACTCGTGTCCGCAAAGCGATCTCATAACACCGTGTTGACAACCGGAGCTGCATTTCACCGGTTTACCGCGCCTCACAGTGGTCGGAAACCGTCCATCTTGGACAAAACTGAGAAGTAATGGGAAATTCGAATGACCTTCCGGGTTGGACGGTCGTGGTCTTGAGGAAATCCTATTTCCATAGGTTTCGGCTGCAACTGTGGCAGACATTCTCCGTAGGCAAGTGGTCGTTGATGTCCTTCCGGACCGACAAACATTTGTCTATCCTACCGTGCAGCCCGGAAGGCAATTCGAATGATGAATCCAGCCGTAAAAGCCTACATTGCTTTAATAATGAGAAATGTTTTGGAACATTCACATAAAGAAAACAATGCTTAAAAACCAACGTTTCACCTTTTATTAAGTGTTCCTCAGGGCTGCAATATAAATAATGATTGTCATTGATTTAATACGTTTTGATCAGTTGCTCTTCAATTATTATATTAAAATATTGAATGATGCTATTAAGCACAATTTACAAATAATTGTTAATACCTAATAATACATAAGTATAGCACATTGTGGTACACTTCGCACGTTACTATTTACAACACAAATGTATATTACTAATTTCTACACCGCGCAATATTGAAAGAAAACTATGGAGTTTTCGGCTGTATGAATGGTGTCTATCTGTCCTTAAACTACCCAGGAACTCGAAAAAACAAACAACGAAACAGTTTCTATTTTGATTTAAGAATGCAACTTTTGTATGTGTTATTCAGTGTATACTCGTACACAGCCTTGCGACACAAAGGCTCCAGGCAAGAGGCCGCCCGCCATTAAATATTCGCTGTTCGCATGGTGCGTTATGGAAGAGCAACCTTTTCGATACTTATATTTAAAATAGCTTTTATTTAAAGAACTGTTGTACTGTGAATACACTATTCTACGTTGTTATATTATTCGTGACGACTTTTAGTTAAAATATTTAAATTATTGCAACGTTCTTTCACAGTATTTTCTTTGTTGATCTTTATCAGTGTGAGTGCTACTTTGTCGAAACCCATTCTGATTTCGTTCTGTGGCATTTTTTCTGTTACAGGATTCAAGTACATGTACGAGTGTACTGCAATGTAATTTACGTAATAATATAGCAAAACAATTAAATGTATAATATTTTCTTATAGATATAAATTGCATATGCGCACACGCTTTCTTTTTACTGTTTAGCTCCACTTCTTTAAAATATATTTATAATTAATCCTGAGACGCCTAGCAATACAGTATTCCATGTCATTTTCCTTTAGAGGTCTCTTTGCACAGAATTAGGCCCTAAATTAAAGGCAGTCGACCCACTGCGTGCCCTGACACAGTAAGGGCGCCGGCGATTATTGACTGGTACTGCAGACGCTGGCTTTTCTATTAGCGGGAGGCCAAGAGATGTGGACATCCACGCGCTCATTCATTAGCACGTGCGCGCACTCTAATTGTGTTTAGAGCAGCACGGAAAAAACACCACTGCTCCCAGAGGTATTGTGAGCGTACGGAAATATGTGTGTGAAGTTGTATAGCAACAGGTCAGCTTCTTAACATGAACATAAATGTTAACAAAGGAAGGTATGAACTGTCATCGTAATCATATTTTTTGTTCTTTAGTAATGTTAACAAAGTTTATCGGTCACATGCGTCTTTAACCTCGGTTAACATGCAATTCTACTAGTTTGATAAGTGCACTTGTATGTTAAGTACCTGTATGTTAAGAAATTTAACATCCTTCTCAACGGTTTTTAACATCCTTAGCAACGGGTTTTAACATCCTTACCAACGTAAATAAACAACCATCGCTTCATCGCAATTCAAATGTTTATTAAGAAGAAAACATGGCTATGCAGAAAACAAATCAGGTGCAAAGAATTCGGAAGGAAAGTAACTCATATTAGTTTGGGGGGTAATTATTGTTAATTTTAATATTAATACGACAATAATAAAATGTATATTAGGTATATTAACCTGATTTTCGTAGCATTCATCCAAATGAACCTTTTCTCTGGTATTCATATTTACTAATGACCTGAAGTTGTTGCCACTGAAAGAAGATGTGTCATCTTCCTTACCGAATATCATTTCTTTAGATATTTTTAGGTTCAGGAGTGTTATTTGTTGAACCCTTAACATGCCGTGCCATTGCAGTGACATAACTTGATGCCCTGAGCCACCGTAACCTGTGTATTGACGAAACGTACAGTTCTGTGAGTGAGGAGTGATGGTTATGACCAACGAGCTTTGAGATATATAGAGAAAAAATAGTGTGCAAAATTCAGCGCGCCTGCTTGAAGCAATTCGCACTATTGGTGGCCACATTGTCTGATGGCAAAGCAAAATAGAAGCTTCAATACATTCTTGCTTGAAAGTACATAATTTGGGCGTTTCGGGGTGCAGTGTTTGTAGGTGTTGCAGGTGACATTAAAGTGTAATACTCTTGTTCGGCATATAATGTGTACGAAGAGACTCGACAAAAGTATTTGGAAGCAGAAGGAGACGTGATTTACTTTAGTTTTCCATTGCTAATGTATTATTATATTCATATATAAATAATGAATAATAAGTTTGACGGTTAAAGAACTGCAAGTTAAGTCCAGATTTAGTATTGGCATTCCATAGGCACTGGTAAATTTGTAGTACATTACATTAAAATGTATCAATACAGTTACGGCAAGTAAGTTAAAATACTTGTTTATTTTCATATGGACGTTTCCAAGGCCGTGATGTGGTCTCAAATTCTTCTTAAGCTCATTTCCGTAAAGATCAATTAAAAGTGTCACTAAGAAGAAAATACAAAAAAATGAATTTCTACTACGAACAAGCAAAATTAAAATTGTAACGTATTAGCCAGCGTGCCTCATGGCATCTATTTGGGGACGCTTGGTTGCGGATTAGTCTCGCCACAGGAAGTAGGGTTTTTCCGTAAAGGGAAGAACGCGGAGACGGGAGACACAAGGCTTTGGGTGTCTTCCGGCTTATAGAAGCTTTTCAGTGTTATAACAAGCGAGGGGGTGGCGTGACGTAGGAGGTCACGTGGGCCTCGCCTATATAACAGAGTGTACGGAGCCAGTAGGCAGGTTCTGGAGACGGTGAGAGAACCTCGTGCGTGTGCACAAAACTTGGCGCCAAGACGGTGCATATGCGAGCCAGGCTCGCGAGGCTGGAGTCATTAGTTGACGAAGCCTGCGGACTTTGTGTCCTTGGGTGACTGCGGTCACGGGGGAGCGATGCTGTGTGCGTGCTCCGAGGTGAAGAGTGGTTGAGTGCCACGATTCACGCCGATTCTCAATCGGATAAGATCGCTCCTGCGATCGAGGCAAACCAGCCGTTGGTGCGCCAGAACGGACTTTGTCCCAGCGTGACATCCGGTCACGGAAACTAGGCTTTGTGCGCGCTTCAAAAGTAGGAGTGGCGAATGCCACAATCAAAACAATCTTCAATCGGGTTTTGGATCGCTCCCGCGATCAGGGGATAGTAGGTCTATCAGAGCTAGGGTGTAAGTAGATTATTAAGTGTATATATTTGTTTTGTTTTCTTGTTAATAAATATATTTGTTATACGAAAGCTCTGTGTCTGTGGTCGCTGTGAGTATCCATGACGTCACAAAATTAATCCTGTAAATTAATATCGATCAATCTCAACATATTTTAAATACTACGACTCTTCTAAATGATCTGATCCTTTTACGATAGCATTCACCATTACGCGAACATTCGGATGTGGCCCACATGGCGATATTTTAGGTAGCTTTTTAACAATTTGGTCAATATACCGACCACTTTGACTGCTGTAACTGTAGAGGGAACTGTAAGAACGTAAGAACAACACGAACACACATAAACACCCATGCCCTGGGCGGGATTCGAACTCGTGCCCCCTCGAGCCGGGGTAGCTTCGGTCATGGCGACCTCAGCTACCCAGGTCGGCTAATCAGGGCGATTGTTCGATGAAAAAGCTTCCAATACGGCGGTCTCTTAAATTTAGATTGTTGCGCGTCTTCGGCTGGGACTCACCCGAGCAGGAAGCCCCACATCCAGGGCAGGCCCATGAGGAAGTGGGCCGAGATGGCCACGGCCACGCACTCCACGACCCACGGCACCAGGCTGAGCTTGAGCACGGCCACGCGCAGGCGCGCCATCGCCGTGGGGTCCAGGTCCAGCCCCGCGCGCGTCAGGATGATCACCAGCGCCACCTTCCTGCGCACCACGCACGCGCGCGCGCACGCCGCACCATCAACACTTGGAGCGTCTCAGCTCGCTCGCCTCGGATGAGGGGTTGCGAGCCAGGTGGAACACCAGCGCGCCCTTACTGCGCACCACACACACACGCATGCACGCACGCACGCAGCACCATCGCCACTTTGAGCGTCTCAGCTCGGTCGCCTCAAATGAGGTGTTACGAACCAGGAGGAACACCAGCGCGCCCCTCCTGCGCAAAAAAAACACACACACACACACTCACCGCACGATCACCACTTTGAGCGTCCCAACAAGCTGACATCAAATGAAGTGTTACGAACCAGAAGGAATACCAGCGCGCCACTTCTATGCACCACACCCACACACACACACACACACACACACACACACACACACACATGTGCGCGCACGCGCATGCGCACACGCCGCAAGCTCACCACTTTGAGCGTTCCAGCTTGCTCACCTCAGATGAGGTGTTACGAACCAGGAGAAACACCAGCGCGATCTTCCTGCGCACCACGCACACACACACACCATCAACAGCTCGACCTCCCTTCGCACACACACACACACACGCACGGTCGCACAAACATCACACACTCACCACTTTGAAAGTCTCAGCTCGCTCGCCACAAATGAGGCCAGATCATGGATACGTTACAATACAGGAGGATCACTAGCGCGCCCCTCCTGCGCACCACACACACACACACACACACACACACACACACACACACACACACACCGCACGATCACCACTTTCAGCGTCCCAACACGCTCACCTCAGATGAGGTGTTACGAACCAGGGGAAACACCAGCGCGCCCCTCCTGCGCATCACGCACATACACACACACACACACACAGCACGCTCACTTCAATTGAGGGCAGATCATAGATTCGTTACGAATCAGGAGGATCACCACACACGCACACACACACCGCACGCTCACCTCTTTGAGCGCCCCAGCTCGCTCACCTCTAATGGATTTTTAGAGCGACAACATCCTTCGATTAGGGAAGGGTTTCGGGAAGGAAAATAAAACCGACTGACCCATGTGGTAGATTTACAGCATGACTGCTTATAAAGCAAGATACAGTTCAATTGAATATGAACGGAAATGAGTCCAGATAACAGATTCGTTACGAGCGCACCTACAAACACCACGGGCATCATCGTTATGTTATTCTCAGTATGCTCCTACCAGGTGGGGTCACAGCGGGTTATTTTCGAAATTAGGATGATTACCAGCGCAATCTTCCAGCGCACCACCAACACACACACACACACATACACACACACCGCCCTCTCACCACTTTGACCGTCTCAGCATGTTTACCTCATATGAGGTCAGATCACAGATTCGTTAAGAATGTGGATGATTACCATTGCAATATTCCTGCGCACCTACACCTCGCCAAATCAACATTTTGAGCGTCAGAGGTCGCTAACCTGAAATGAGGGCCGATCACAGTTTCGTTATCATCACCAGCTCGACCTAACTGCTCCTCACACACACACGTCGCACTCCCACTCCTTTGTGCATCGCAGAACGCTCACCTCATCAGATCACACATTTGTTAAGAATATGGATTATTACCAATGCAATCTTCCTTCCATCCTCATCACTATGTTATTATCACCACGCTTCTATTTAATGGGGTCAAAACATGGATTCATTGGTAATCAGGAAATCACGAGCGTGATCTTCCAGCGCCTCACATGCTCACACACAAACACACCACACTTTCACCACTTCCATCGTCCAAGCACGCTCACTGCAAACGGATTTTTAAGGGCGAAAACTCATGTAATTGAGATTAAGGGACACTGCATTGAAGGATTGTAAAGAGATTTTCTAAATAAAATTCACATATAAGAAAATATAAAATAATGTTGATTATTTATGAAATGTCTCTTTTATGTATCAATTATTTCCAAAAGATGTAAGAAAAATGCAAACAAAAACTCCCTTTGGTAGGATAATTTAAGAAAGAATAGAAGGAGGAAGAAATTATATTCTAATATAATTCTGTAAGAAGGAAACTATATGTTCTACGATAGGAGCTTGCAAATGTTCAAATTTTCATTAACTTTCCAACACTGAGTGACGTTCTCATAACGCAGATGGTTTCCATGGTTTCCTGGTACGTTCGATGCAGGCTCTGCTTTGTTATTCTCTCTCATAGTCAAATTACGAAGTATGTGAAATATGCTTTCACAGACTTCTAGGCAATAGATCAGGCTTTATTTTCGAAGGCGTAATCATTACAATGATCGATGTATAGAAAGTCCTCTCGATATTCAAATCAAATAATTCTACTGTGCTTGAAAAAGGCGACCTGTAAGATTCAACAAGAAGAGTTAGAATTACACATTTTTGTATTTTTTATTTAATTTCAATTTTCAATAGATAATTTTTAACGTAATACGCTGCAGTGTGGAAAACCAGACGACTGTACGTTTAAACCTTCTTCTTACTTAAAATTTTCTACTATGCTATTTCTAAGACACGAAAACATTTTGAAAATAGTTCAAAGCAACAGCGGCACCACATTCATCTACTTATAATTATTATACAAATTCAAAATTAAAATTGTCAAATAATTTCACTTCTTAGATGGTGTCACACGAGACAATCCGTTCCGTGGGTTGTCACCGGATCCCGCATTCCGCGTGCCGAACCAGCGATCGCCTATCGGTTAATTGCAAAATGCAGTTTGCTTCGTGCACGCGCGGAGCGTAAAAATTCCGTACGACCATGAGATCTGCAGCTGCTTTAAACGCAAGTCCCAGGAGGCCAATGGTGGGTAAAAGACGGAATGGGATAAGAGGTACTTAAATTCGAGCTAACTGCCCCGGGCAGATAAAGCGCTTAGATGGTACATAAAGCCGCATTTGTCTTCAGAGCTTTGTTAAGCCGAGGCCGCGCCAAACTGCCCAGGTCAAACAAGAGACCGCCCGGGCGGAAAGCTTGAAATCTCTTTCGCTGAACGAAATGGAAACAGAAACCCCGGGAAAATCAAGAAAGAATTATTCATTTATATTTATTAATGAATATAGCATTGTAAAGACGTTGTAGAAATCTGACATTATAAGTCAAGTGAAAAATGAGAAATTTTTCAGAATGAATTCGGCCACCATGATAATTGATACGATCAAAGCAAAAGTCCATGAGCTTTTTTCTATTTATTCTTTTGATCCGTGGATATTAGAAACATCGCTAGGGAGATTTTCAAAATACTACAAAATTATAGAGAAAGACTCATGTAGACGGCCAGAATATAAAGAATAATTATTGAAAATGTTACGGCTAACGGTACAGAAACCCCGGGAAAGTTAAGAAATAATTATTAATTTATATTCATTAATGAATACAGGATTATAAAGACGTAGAAATCTGACATTATAAGTCAAGTGAAAAATGAGAAATTTTTCAGAATGAATTCGGCCACCATGATAATTGATACGATCAAAGAAAAAATGTTTTATTATTGATGTGGGCACGTATGTTCCATAAATGGCTTTAAGATATTGAATGAGTGGGTTCCAGATTAGAGAAGAAAAAGAAGACGTGATAGAGGAACGAGAGTAGACGTTATGTGAAGTACAGCGAGTATAAGAAATCTACAAGCCTAATTCGACCTTGTTGGAACTTCGGATGCGATTCCGGAATTGCCATGCGTCGCTAAATGCTTGCCTAATTTAGAAACAGAACCTGAAGGTCTCATGAAGAAATCTCAAGCGAAATAAATGATGCGGACACTCTTTCTTCGTAATACCTATCTTCCTACGATTTTAACTTTTTTACGTCGAAATTTCACACAATTTTAATGAGCTTTTTCATTACATCTTTTTAAAAATTTATTTCGTATTTTCGGCTTCATAAGCATTTCAGGAGTTTTACTATACATTTTATACATACACAATGCTGTCCTCTCGGCTTACAGTACTTTATAAGGAACGCACGGCTGCTTCGTGTAAATAGCTGCAGAACAGTAATAAAAATATGACTTTTTTAAGGATTTTATTTAATGTTTTCGACAGCGGAACTGGTTAATGGGTCGAGTAGATTCATCCCAATTGTAGGTGATTTCAGAAATTCTTTGGAGTATCGAGAGATAATGCGGTTTGGAATGATTGCATTTTTTGTATGGATTTAATATCTATAAACTTGTACAAGATGGAACAGGGCGAAAATTCATTTCTGATCAGTTTTAAATACTCGTCAATAAATATAATTTGTAGCTCTCTGTGAATTTGTTTATTTGGAATAAACCATGAATATTTATTGCTTTATGAACAAAACGTGAAAAAAAGATTTAATGAATTCCCACAGAGAAAAAATACTGCAAAAATGAAGCTGAATCCAGTTTCAACTGCTGCGGGAGTTTAACGATCTATGACATAGCCACACTATTCTGCATGATTTGGAATCTAGCCAATGAGCGTTCTGTTTCTGCGAAGGAACTTGAAATTTAACTCCCCTTAGCCGATTAAAGGAAGCAATTGAAACTCTCCTCCTCATGAATAAGCCAATACTCTCCTCATTTTTAGATTCGCTCCATTTCTGAGAACAGTACTATCCATAATAAAATGCTACTTTTGCTAGAATCCGTTTTTGCGTTACATTTCATTAGAAGAGATATTTCATGTTCTCATTCCGAGTCATTATTTTTGCGATAAATAAAGCCAAATTAATATGACCTGCAATAAGGGTAACTCACCTAAACGTCACACTCATTTTGGGGTGCTATGGTGAAACCCATATACCTAAGGATAACAATAATATCTCTCTCCCTCCGTCTCCCTCTCCGTCTCCCTCTCGTCTCCTTCTCCGTCTCCTTCTCCGTCTCCCTCTCAGTCTCTCTCTCCTTATCACTTCCTTCCTCTCTCTCTCTTACTCTCTCTCTCTCTCTCTCTCTCTCTCTCTCTCTCTCACCATATTTTTGGGATAGAAGTTCAAAACATGAAACCACCCCGTTTTGGAAGATATCTGAATTCGACACGATCAGGATTCAAATAGCAGTAGAAACACTTCGTTTCATTTACGACACCACTGGTCAGGTTTCACTTGTTCAACGTACCATTTTAACTTCGCAGGAGGTATTCGTGTATTT